AGATGCCGGCCACAGAGACTGGCGAAATGTTAGGAAGAACAACCTTCAGAACACGGCCAAAGAGCCCGAAAAACCCACAACAACCATTAGATCCTGACCGTGAAAGCCTTCGCAAATACACTAAAATGATTATACACTTGGTCATTGGGTTCTGCCAGGTTTTTATTATGGGAGAAAGTAAAGTAAGCACTTAATAAATTAATAGCTGGTAGGTTATGGTGTTAGAGGAGGAAAGGGTCAGTTAATAATGAAAATGTGTTTCTATCTTTGAGTTGCTTTGGTCATTTGGGCTTTACTCTGTCTCTGTAGATGCAGGTCTTTATAGCTGCCTGGATAATGACGACGATGTGGCAGCTGAGCTTTTCCCCTGCCTTGAACAAAGCATGGTGGACAGCGACAATTCCCATTCCATGGTGAGCATATTCATCCAGCACATGTCTTCTGAGTAATGGCATTTCAAATTTGGGGGGGGGGGGAGAGTATTTATATCTTCCAAGTTCAGTTCAACACTCCAATCACTGCATTACGCTGGTTCTCTGTAACCTCATTCATACGCAGCCCTGGGGAGCTCCTGTACTTAGTACCAGGGTAGAAGAATGGTGAGATCCCATCCTTACTGACTGTGGCCTATCTGTCAGAAATTATCTTATCCACATGCATATGTACATGGGCTTGAAAGCTCTGTTGGCTTTTCTATCTTTCTCATCACCAGGAGTTTTATATAATTGTTGAACATTGGCATCTTGCTCACTGTCAGCCTTGTCATTTCATCTTCAGTACTAAAGTTTTTATATATATATAAATTGTATGTGATGTTGATGATAATATGCTCCTGAGAATATCGTTCACCAGCTGTTGTGCTTCTACATAAAGGGAAAGCTCTGTTGGCTTTTCTATCTTTCTCATCACCAGGAGTTTTATATAATTGTTGAACATTGGCATCTTGCTCACTGTCAGCCTTGTCATTTCATCTTCAGTACTAAAGTTTTTATATATATATAAATTGTATGTGATGTTGATGATAATATGCTCCTGAGAATATCGTTCACCAGCTGTTGTGCTTCTACATAAAGGGATTGTCTAAATCAGTGGTTCCCAACCTTGGGTCCCCATGTGATCTTGAACTAAAACTCCCAGAAGTCTTCATCACTAGCTGTGTTGGCTAGGATTGCTGGGAATACACAACACGTTCAATTTTCTTTCCCCCCCCCCCCCGCCTTTTTACTGGCAATAGTTCAGTGCTGGTTTTGACATGGCTATGGAAATACCACCCCCGGAACCACCTTGGGACCCACTGCAAGACATCTTTTTCCCAGGTGAGCAGAACCCCCCCTCATGAACTTGTGGGAACCCATTGAGAGTCTCAGAGACATGTGTATGCATATGAGGATGCTTTTCAGTGGGGGGATGCAATACATGTTGAATTAGTCTGCCTTCTCAGGTTAACACATGGTATTTACCAGCCAACTGACTGAGACTGAATTGATGGGCTTGTAAAATGGCTGTGAGTTTGGAAGATTTTTTTGTGGCCAGGTGGGGTGGACTGCCGCTCCCAGAATGCCCCTGCTAACATGGTCTCACTTTGGAATTGTAGTTGAATTTTTTTTCCAACTCAGAGGTAGAGATTTCTTTATATTAGCTGAAGAGAGAGAGATTTCCCTATCATGTGCCTGCATTTGGCCTGTTATTGTTGAAAACAGAAGGACTGGCTAGCTGGACCTCTTTTCTGTGGTTCAGTAAGGCAATTTAAAAACATTTCACATCCTTAAGATAATTTGAGCCATGAAATTGCTTGTTTGGAAAACTTTCTTATGCATGAGGAGTCACACTATGTGGTTCCTCTTCTGTCTTGATAGCTGGAAGCCATGAATCATTAAGATCAACAGTCCAAGTTTATACATGATGTGTTACCTTTAATATCCATGGTTGTCAACACTTCTGGCTAGTGGTCAAAGGAGAAAGGATGCATTGCAAGGCCAAATTGTTTGTCTTTCTTTCCTCCACCTCATGCTTTCCTTACTGACTTCCTCCTGATAGAAGATAACAGGATGATGTGCAGATCATATCTGATTATGTTTCCATTCTTCATAAAGTAGCCTTGGCTGGAGTCATGTGGCTCCTTTTCTGCCACTGGGAGGTAGTGAGGGAACGTGCTGTGTAATGGCCATAGAAGGGCTGTGCTTGGCTGAAGGCTCATTTGTTCTTTTTGGCCAATACATGTCCATCACTCAATACAAACCTTCAGAAGGGGACTTCACACAGTAGTTCCAGAAGCCCATTTTGCCCACCTAGATCCCAGCACAGACTACACTCTATTTTCAGCACATAGCTGAATTGCCTTTCTTTTCACTGCTGCCCAGCCTATGTTCAAGTTTGGTTCCTAAAGCCCACAGAAAGCTAGAATATAAGGTGGGGATGAAGAAGCTGTTTCTCTCCAAATGGTATGGCCAGCTCCATCTAACATGGCCAGTGATAAAGGAATATGGGATCTGTAGTCCAAAAATCTGAAGGGCCAGTTGTTCCCCACTCTGATGGTAAGGCTTTAATGGCCAGTGATAATGATAGCAACTTTCTTCCGTTATTTATTGGTAGCATTCCTACCCATCTTTTAGCCAAAGAGTGACCCAGAATAGCCAGAGCCACAAACAAAAGAAGATGGATGACAGGTTGTGTTCTCTATACTTTGCATGTTAAGGCATGACATATTAGGAATGGTTCCGTCAACCTGCTGGAAAAGCTCCAATCTTGGCAGGGATCAGTCTCCTCCTGGAAGCTGTTGTCACTGGGGGAATGCTTCCAGGCAGAGAGAAGGGCACCAGCACGTTCTCTGTGGGCAGGGCTTTACTATAAGAATGGCAGAACCATGTGATGTGTTAGAGGCAAAGGGGGAGATCCTCGTGAGTGACTCCTCTTTTCCATTTCTTTTTCCTGGAGCATACTGGGCTAGTGGCACAAGTAGGTCAGCATACACATCTCCTTCCTTTTAGAGCTGCAGGTGAAGTCTGAGCCAGTCTCCCCTGCGTCATCTCACTGCTCTGATTCGTCTGGTGCATCCTCGGATTCCTCTGCTTTGTCCTCTTCCTCCTCCTCTGCTGATCTCCCTGGGCAGGTATGTTTGTCGAAGAAGGCATGATATATGGAATCAAGCCTCTTGTCTTTGAACTCTTGTGTAAGCAACTGTGCTCCCCCTTCAGGCCCCCAACCCATCTGACGTGATTGGAGTGAAGGCGGAGCACCCTCCAACCCCTCCATGCATGTTTGGAGATGTCCTTTCACCCCCCTTCGGTACTGTGCACATCAGGGTAGTCCCAGCTCCTGAAACAGGTATGTAGCATGGGAGAGAGAGAGCAAAGGAAAGGGAGGCTGCAGGGGGAACCTTTTGGCCTCCTTGGGTACTTTAGTACAGAATACAGGACTGAAAACAACAGAATGAAACTCGACAGGGATAAGAGCAAAGGACTTCACCTAGGAGAAAGAAATCAAATACACATACAATGTTTTAGAAAAAATAAAAAGTATAAAGGGAGAGTACATAGGGGAGACTTGGCTCAGTGATGCTGCAAGCAAGGAGGGTCTTGGAATCATCAAATACACATACAATGTTTTAGAAAAAAATAAAAACTCTAAAGGGGGAGTACATGGGGGAGACTTGGCTCAATGATGCTGCAAGCAAAGAGGGTCTTGGAATCGTCGTGGATCACAAGCTGAATATGAGCCAACGGTGTGATGTGGCTACAAAAAGGGCAAATGCTCTTTTAGGCTGCATTAACAGAAGTATAGTCTCTAAATTTCATAAGGTATCATTCCCTTCTATTCAGCACTAGTTAGGCCCCATCTTGAATACTGTGTCGAGTTCTGGACACCGCACTCCAAGAAGGATGCCAACAAACTGGAACAAGTTCAGAGGAGGGCAATAAGTCCTATGAGGAAAGACTGCAAGAACTGGGCACGTCTAGCCTTGAGAACAGAAGACTGAGGGAAGATATAATAGCACTTTTCAAATACTTAAAAGGCTGTCATACAGAGCGGGGGGCAGGATCTGTTCTCGATCGTCCCAGGATGCAGGATATATAATGATGGGCTCAAGCTACAGGAAACCAGATTTCAGCTCAATATCAGGACAAACCTCTTAACTGTTAGAGCAATATCAGGACAAACCTCTTAACTGTTAGAGTAGCATTCCTGCACTGAGCAGGGAGTTCGACTCGATGGCCTTATAGGTCCTTTCCAATTTCTTTTCTCTATGTTTCTATGAATAGACTGACTCTGGAACTCAGTCTGGCCAGCTCTGTGAGGGGACAATCTAATATTTAGGGATTTTGATTGTGTTTTTAATAGCGAATGCAGAAAATATAACAGCACAGAGTAACAAAGTGGCCAAAAATGGATTTGGTTAGTTTGACAGTTTCATTCTTGTTACAGGGAAACCAGTCACTTCCAACAAAGCAGAGAGCATTCTTAGTCGGAAGCCCCCCATTCAGCCCAAGCCAGTTGTGGTAACTACTGTCCCAGCGCAGCCAACAACCACTTCCAGTAAGACCATCTTACTGCAATCTGTTCCCGTAACCCAGTCACAGACGATCAACCCAGGAATTTCAGGTAACGAAGGAAGGAGGTCTCTGTTGTCATAATCCAATCAATACTCCAGGGAGGGGCCAACCTACCTGAGTCTGGCTTTACAGCACAGCTGAGCACCTGCAGTGTGTTTTGTGGGTCCACAGATATTTGTTTCCTTTCACTTGAATGTAGTGAAGGAGAGTCATTTTCCCCCCTGTGGGACATGATTCTACAATATATATATAATGCCATCTTTGATGTTACTGTACAACTGCACAAGCAATGGCCACTGAATTGATCTGGCTTTGCCTTTAAAAAAAAATCTCAGTTCCAGGACAGAGTGTGGTGATCTCCCAGTCTGAACTGCTGCATCTCCCAGTGTCGGGGCTGATCAAGGTTCAGTCTCCTGTGAAAGAAGGTCTCCCTGCAAAGCCAATTCCCGCTGCCCCCAAGCCGGAAGCCAAGACTATTGTCCCAGCTCCAACGCAAATCGGACCCTGCAACCAGGAGATAGATGTGAGTCTTGCCTTTCGGTTCTAACTCCTGATTCTTTTTTTACTCTGCTGCCTTTGGCTCGTGCCCGTTCTGTTCCAGGACCTCCCCTGAGCCTGAAACTTCATTAGATAACATGGAACTCTGTCTTCCAACAGCCACCACCCATTACTGACAAATCCTGTCAGTGATGTCTTTATTTAAACTTTTAAGCCCATTGGTTTATGAGAAAAATTACATTTGGTTAGTCCCATAAATCCTATCCCAGTCGGTTTCAGTTAACAAAAGTTCATGTGTTGGTCCATTGTTAGACTGTAGATGTGTAAATAACATTTTTCCCCACCACTACCACTGCTGATTCCCTCCCAAGATCAAGGTCCTGAAAAGGCAGCAGCGGATGATTAAGAACCGGGAATCAGCCTGCCAGTCTCGGCGGAAAAAAAAGGAATACCTGCAAGGGTTGGAATCGCGGCTGAGGGAGGCCCTGACAGAGAACGAGCGACTGCGACGGGAGAACGCTCTCCTCCGCCGGCGACTGGACTGTGTTGTGAACGAGGTGAGCGTTTGCTGGCCAGAAAGGGGACTTGTGGCTTTGTTATGGAAATCGTGGTTCTATTCTCCCTTCTCCCTGACCCTCAATTTTCCGCTTTCTCTTTCTGGCTAATCTTTTTGCTTTTGGGGGGGGGGTTCAGGCATGCTAACTTCTCCAGAATTCTTTGGTTCCGTCAGGCATACAGATACCCTCTCTTCCACCCACCCCAGATTCCCCCATTTAGACTCCAGTGTTGTTTGACATCCATTGCCTGAGTTTGGAGTTGGAAAGAGAGATTGTGATGGAGACCCGTCTTCAGCAGCTGGTGCCTTTCTTCCATTTTGCAAACAGACATTTGAGTTCTCTTAGGAAACTGGGCTGCCCTTTTGACTGTTTGCAGAGGAGCAGCTGCCTGTGTACACCCGGGTCTGGGGGGCTGAAGGTGCTGGAGGCATGTAGGATCTTCACAAGGTGTTAGGCACTGTAGCGCTTTGCATTCGCCTCTTCTGTGTCGCCCTGGAGGAGAAATCAGGGCGTGATGTCGCCTCTCCTTTTGGGCATGTCGCAGAATAAAGCTTCCTTCTTTGGCTCCGTGGCAGCCGGTGTAGGGTTGATTGAGCCTGATGTGTTTCAGTGACTGACGAATTTCCCCACCTAGTTAACAGTATAGGAAAAGAGGATTTATTCAGTACTCTTTTCATGAAACAAAGAATACAGCTCAGGCATAGATGGTTAATGAAACACTTGTCTCCCACGTTGAGGAACAGCTGCTTGGAACTACACTGTTTCCCTGAAAATAAGGCAGGGTCTTATATTAATTATTGCTCCAAAAATGCATTAGGGCTTATTTTCAGGTGATGTCTTATTTTACAGCAATCTACATTGATTCAAATACAGTCCGGTCATCTTCTTCTGGTTGCTGCACAAGGGTGGAGGCTGGGATTTCACTCAACGGGGGCTTATTTTTTGGGGTAGGGCTTATATTACGAGCATCCTGAAAAATCATACTAAGTCTTATTTTCGGGAAAACAGGGTAGTTGTGCTCACCTGGGTCCCTTTATCAAGTGCGATGTCTAGTAGTATCACGTAAGGCAGGGCTGGGCAACCTGCCTCCTCCAATCTTACGCAGCCCTCACCTGTTCCAAGCCTGAAAAATCATACTAGGGCTTAGGTTAGGTGTTATTTGCGGGGAAACAGGGTAGCTGTACTCACCTGGGTCCCTTTTTCAGGCGGGATGTTTGGTAGTACCACATAAAGGCAGGGCTGGGCAACCCACCTCCTCCAATCTTACACAGCCCTCACCTGTTGCTGGTGGTCCTTCTGTTCAGAGCTCGGCAAGATTAAAGAGAAGAGAAAAAAGAAGAAGAGGCTGAGAGAGAAAAGTTAGCTTTTTGGCTCTGCGTCATCTGCCCCTGGCAAGTCATCCATTCGTGAAGGAGTGGGGCAGTATAAGGATGTTAGGTCCAATGTAGAGTCACAGGAGTTTACATTCCCATTTGAAGAGAGACAGGAATCCTGAACAGGTGGGGGTGGTGGGTATTGGCTGACTCTTTGCCTTTATTTTTCCCTTTTAGAACAGCGAGCTGAAGTTCGGCTCTGGGAACCGGAAGGTCATCTGTGTCATGGTGGTCCTGCTCTTCATCGCCTTCAATTTTGGGCCTGTCAGGTGAGGCTCTGAGGCGGGGCAGCTGGTTTCTTTTCTTCGTGCTAGCTAACAAACAACTTGGCTAGTCATTTGCTGCCTTGAAGCCTTTTGAAATTGCCAAAGCTTCAGGGAATTCAGTGATATCTGACATGTGTGTGTGTGTGTGTGTGTGTGTGTGTTGCGGGCATGTGTGTATTGGCTCGATATCAAGCAGAACTCAGCAGACTGGTTAGGGGAGCCTTTTCTAATTTCCCTGGGATGAAACGGCGATGAAACATCTGTGGGAGGTTCAGAAGACAGCCTAATGAATCTGTTCATGCTGTGCTAGAGCTTTGAAATCCCACTCTAAGACATGACTCAGCATCTGTTGTGCCTCTCCCCACTGTCGCCCCCTGTTAAGAATGAAACTGCGTGTTATGAGCCACTGTTCTTACTTACAGTCGCTACTGATGCCTCTTAAATTTTGTCCTTTGAGCCTTGTTATTTAAAATAATTTGCCTTTATCTCTGTAGCTGGGTCCCTCTTTTTGGGTGGGATATCTGACAGGACCATGTAGTGGAAGGCTGGGCAACCTTCCTCCTCCAGTTCAAATTTACACAGCCTTCACCAGTTTCAGATTTCACCCATTCTTCTCCTGTATGCAACAGTACTCCTTTTGAGTGTGTCTGTCTTCCTATCCAGAGATATTCCAGGTGGATGATTGAGCTCCTATGATATCTCATTCAGAAATTACAGTGGTGCCTTGCTAGATGATGATAATCCGTTCCGCTGAAATCACTGTTTAGCAAAATCATTGTCTAGCGAAAAGCATTTACCTATTGGAATGCATTGAAACCTGTTTAATGCGTTCCAATGGGGAAGACTCGTCGTTGTCTAGCGAAGATCAGCCATAGGAAAGCAGCTTTGCAAACCGCCGATCAGCTGTTTAAATAGCTGTCTTGCGAAGCTTAGGTCCCGAAAACATCCGTTTTGCAAGCGCGGAGGGAGCTGTCAAAATCATTGTCTAGCGAAAATCGGTTTGCGAAGCAGGGACCAAACATTGTCCAGCGAAATTCCCGCATAGGAATCACTGTTTTGCGAATCGCTATAGCGATCGCAAAAAGTCAATGTCTAGCGAAAAAACTGTCATGTGGGATAACTGTCTAGCGAGGCACCACTGTAATCTTAGTCTTAAAGGTGCCGCCAGATTCCCTTCTTGTTACAAGATAATTTAAGGAGGATGTATCACCTTTCTTCCCGGGTACCCTTTAAAAATCTCCCGCGCATGAAACAGACTGTGAAGAAATGACAGCAACTGGATCCCTACTCCGGCTTGTGCAACTCTATGGTGTGGAGGACTCCATTTTATTTTTCAGAGTGGGGGTGGGGAGCATTTTGTGCCAGAATTTTTCATGTTGGTCTGTTCCCGCTGAAAAGGGAATTCTAGGATCTCCATGGAAGCTGTTCTGTTTTCTCCCCTCCCCACAGCATCAGTGAACACAAGGCAACAGAAGTGGACTTTCCTAAGCAGGAAGCAGAGCCTGGGCCGGGGCAGAGGCACCTCCTGGGGATTATAGGGGAACCCCATGAAATGTCTGAAGAGGAGCTAGAGGAGCGGCAAGAGGAGGCACCAGACAGGCCAGGGAAGACATCGTTCCGGTAATTGAGGGGCCGGGTAGGGGTTTTGGGAGGTGGAAATGAACAAGATGGTGAGAAAGGAACTGCTTGCTTAGCCTTCGGGTGTTTAATGGATGGCGCCCTGACATCTAAAAAGAACTTGCTGTTTAAGGTTACAAAACTGGGAATGGAGAGGGGGAACATTGATAGATAGCAGAGGTTCGAGAAGTTGCAGTTTTGGACTATGACTCCCATCATCCCTCAGCAGTTCTGGGAGCTGATCCAGAGAAGTCACATTTCCAAGCTCTACCAAGTCGTTGGTAGTTATGACTTGGTAGTTACGACCTATCCAGGCTTTTTGCAGTTTTGATGTTTCCATGCCTAAGACTGAGCGGTTCCTTGCAGGGATGCTTTTTAGGATTCAGCAGTGTCAAAGCTGAATCATAAGGAGCAGTTACCTGAAGGGCCCCCCAGCTCCCCATTAAGAACCTTCTCGGCTCTTAGGATCCTCAGAGGGGGCCCTCCTCTCCGCCCCATTGCCAGCACAAGCCCAGCTGATGGGGACACGGGAGAGGGCCTCCTCTGTGGCTACCCCCAGGTTGTGAGATGCTTTTCCCTGGGATGTTCAGTTGGCCCCCTCACTTTAATTCATCCACTGACAATTCAAGACCCACTTCTTCAGCCAGGGCTTTAATAATCATAACTGTGTCCCTGAATGCTGCTTTTTAAGTGAGTTAAGTCTGTTCTTAAAATTTGTATTATTTTTAATGGTATATATATTTTTAAACCACTATTATACACACCGTATTTTTCGCACCATAAGACGCACTTTTTTCCCACAAAACGGGGTGTGTGTGGAAAGTCTGTGCGTCTTATGGAGCGAAGAAAACAGATTATATTTTCCTGTTTTCTTCTCCTAAAAAATTGGTGCGTCTTATGGAAAGGTGCGTCTTATGGGGCGAAAAATACGGTAATTTATTGTGGATTTTCATTCTACATTTTTTTAAACGCTGTAAGCCGCCTTGAGTTCCCTTATCAGGAGAAAGATGACCTATAAATGAGACAAATAAGCTTGCCTAACCCATTTTCTTTGGTTGCTCGCCCACTTTAACATCCCCAATGTGTCTCCCTTCTACTCTTCCTCCCCTGTCCTGCTCCAGGAACCTTTCAGCTTCCTTTTCTGACATGAAGGATCTCATGCTGAGGGACCTGGATAAATTGTTCCTGGCTTCCGACTGCCGCCAATTCAATCGCACTGAATCCTTGAGGTGGGTCCCGGGACAGGGGGACTGGCCCATCCCGATGGTTATGCCGTGTCTCCAGTACGAGGGGCAGGCGTAAATCTCTCAGTGGAGTTGCCAGGGAACGTGAGGAGGAGGTGCCCTCATCGCTTGTTTGGGGTGGGAGTGGGGGTGCTTTCCAGGGGCAAAGCGGTTGGCCATTGTGTGTGGACAGAGTATTGCACCGTAGAGGCCCTACGGCTGATCCAGTGGAGTCCTTTTTTATGTTAGGATGTGCATCATGTGTGATGCAGTTGCAGGACCAGGAGGTGGCAATATGGCATGGTGGGAACTGTGGTTAACCTCTCCTCTTCTTCTTCCCTTTGCAGATTGGCCGATGAGCTCAGTGGCTGGGTCCGCCGGCACCAGATCAATCGGAGGAAGCCCTCGCCGTCCCGCAAAGCACCGCAGGCTACCCAGGTGCCATGAACCTTTGGGACTCTAATATATAATTTCTCTGAGCGAGCCACAAGATCTCAAGAAGAAGCAAAGTGTGCTGCTTATATACTGCCCCATAGTGCTTGAAGCACTCTCTGGGTGGTTTACAATGTAATTACGGCAGCCACATGTTGAATGATCATTGAAAAATTGCTGTTTGCTTAATTTTTAAAAAATGAGTAAAAGTATCACCTGCTCTTCCATTTGTATTGTCGGACACTGGGCGATGGAGCCGAGAGTTGTGCTGCGGTTTGCTAAAATTGTTGGGTGACTGTTGATGTTTGACAAAGTGTTCCGAGGTCTCTCCTTTGCTGACATCTTCTCTCGTCCCTCCCTTTAACCCGCGGGTTCTGCATTTCAGGTGAAGCGAGAAGGAAGGCCGCAAAGCTCCTCGCGCTACGTCCCTGCCAGCCCCCCTAGACACACAGAGAGGTAAGCAAGCTTGTGTGTCGAATCCTCCAAAATTCATTTTTCCTTTCATGGTGGGCCTTTTCTTCACCCAGCTTGTTTTAAGTTACGATCCTGGCTATTTCTCCACCAAGTGTCCTTTTTGCTCAAAACCAAGCTTGCCCAACACCTGTGAGCTGCCTCTCCCCTCCAGGAGAGGTGTCTGCAATGTCTAACTTATTTCATCTCCCACCTATTATTTAAAACTCTTAATTCTGCCCAGCTGTCTTGGGCATACAGGAAGGACAAGGCTGGCCAATACTTTCCTGTCTGTTACTTGGTGACTCGCAAATATGGGTCTTCTGCTTATAATAGCAGAAAGCTATTGGATTTCCATTTTGGCAGTCAGGCTTTGGCTGATGTGTTAACGCTTTGAGGCCAAGGACCAACTTGCCATTGAGTGAGTGGCCTGACCAATGAAATTTAAAAAATAAAATAAAAGCCAGAGCGGTCCTCCCTGTAACAACATCAAGGGGCGACTTAGCTCTGTGACACACGTGACACCATCAGTTCAACTTCCATACCACTCAAATCTAATCTTTTGAAATGGCTTGCCTCTTCAGCTGGGCTCTGTTTACAACAGAGAAGCCAAGGGCTGCACAATCATCTTCTTGTTCCCCCTTCTGTTAGCAGGGAGGAAAAGGTCCCGAAAGAACAACTTGCTGAGGGCTTTGTTGCTTGTTGAACCCTCTTTCCCTAAAAACGCCCGCTGTGCCACCTGTTCCACTCAGGCTGTGCTCTTCTGGTTTGCCACACCAAGGAAGGCCAGGAAGGCATCAACGAGGGATAGGTTCTTCTTGGTTGTGGCCCCTTCCCTTTAGAATGGGCTCCCACTGGAGCTACGGCAGGCCTCCTCCCTCACAGCCTTCAAGAGGATGCTCAAAACGAAACTGCTTACTGATGCCTTTGAAAGGATCCTCCCTTTACATGGTGTTATTGCTTATCTTTAGATTCCCAGTTTGCCATCGTTCAGTTTTTATTGATTCATTTGATGATCATGTATTGATTATGTGGTTGTTTATCGACTATATTATTACATTTTGATTTGTTTTTTTTTTGTTTGTTTGTTTGTCTCACTCTGGGTGTAAAGCACCCAGAGTAATGTTTACCCACTCATCGGTACAATATAATTGATGGATGGATGGATGGATGGATGGAGTTAGTTAGTTAGTTAGTTAGTTGTTTAATTAGTTGTTTAGTTAGTTGTTTAGTTAGTTGTTTAGTTAGTTGTTTAGTTAGTTTAGTTAGTTGTTTAGTTAGTTTAGTTAGTTAGTTTAGTTAGTTTAGTTAGTTTAGTTAGTTAGAGGCTGTTGCCTGGGGATGCCCTGCCTGAGCCTTTGTGGGTGACTCCGTATGTCAGCTTCTCTCTCTTCCCCTCTTCATCATAGGCTCCATTCCTTTGTCCCATGATTCGGATAGGCGCAGAGTATTTCCCCCATCCCACTACAATTAGACAAACACTTTCTCTTTGGTATTCCTATGTGTCTCCAGGAATTCTGTGCATCAGCTGCAGGTGTATCAGCACCCTGACCACACAGAACATGACTTCATGGATGCCATTGATCGACGGGAGGATACGTTCTATGTGGTGTCTTTCCGCAGGGTGAGTGAAGAGTAGCGGGTGGCACAGGAGGTGGGACTACCGTCATACTTTGAGCCTGGAATTTACAGGGTGGTGGGTGAGCCTTTGAGTCACACTGAATTCTTCAGACATGTAGATGAACTGGATTAGGGATATGCCTTATAAAGAAAATGCTGTTACACTGAAGCATTCCGGAACAGAGAAACAAACTGAAACGCCTTCCTTTTCAAAAAGAGAAAGCAACCTGCTGACTCTGTCTGTAGTCCTGGTCATAAGGTGCAGATTCCTTGTTAAAGAGGAGATGTTAAAAAACAACAACAAAGCAGTTCCCAGATTAGACATTGGGAAAATTGATTTTTAAAAAGTGTGTACTATACCAGCCATGGCAGTGGAAGCTAACACGAGTACAGACCAAGTGTGGTGTACTGAGTCCTAAAGGGTGCAGAGCAAGTTGCCACTGAAACATGAAATTCACTGGGTCATCCTGGGGCAGTTGATCTGTCCCAGACTGGCCTTCCTGATAAGGTTGTTGTGAGAATAGAGTGACTGGGAGGACGGGAAGATAACCCTGTCGATCGTAAATATGACTTCTCTTAGAAGTCCCATAAGGTGTTGAATGATCTTAAGTACCCATTCTGGGCTTTTAAAAAATTCAGTTTCCCAATTCCACTCATGGGCAGTTCCATTTAATATTTTCTGATAGAGATCCAAAACAGGTGCCACGCTACAGGGCAGAATCACTCAAGGAAGTGTGGGAGCAGCTTGACCTACAGCTGCTCAAGCACCTCTCAAAGGCTGTGTTGTAGGCTCTGCCTAGGGTGGCTGCTGATGCTCCAGGCTGGACCTATGTGTTGTCTTAACAACCACAAGATTCTGGATTTGAGACCTGGGCAGCCAGCATCAGCCACTGGAGAGGTCTGGCCAGCCTGAGGCGCATTCCCTCTTTTGGGATAAGGCTACGCCACCGTTGGCCCAACTCCTTCGTTCCTGCCTCCTCTAGAAACTCTACAACATGAGCTGAACTTAACATTCCACTCAGTTTTTTGTTCCATTGGTTTAAGCTTCGGTTGTAAGCTCTTAGTGGCAAGGACTTGTCTCGTTTATCCAACCTTCCCCAACTCAGGGATTTACAGATGTTGCCACCACAAAAGGCGAGGGAGTCTAGTCAACCATCTGTGGTCGTGGGCATCCGCTTGTAGAAGGCTGGATTGACCTGTGAAGTCTCTTGCACTGGATCCACTGTGTTGATGGATTCCGGTCTTTCTCCCTTCGTTGTAGGATCACTTACTGCTGCCTGCCATCAGCCACAACAAAACGTCTCGCCCCAAAATGTCCCTGGTGATGCCAGCCATGGCCCTCAATGGTAAGTGGAAGGAATGGGTGGGCAAGAGCCGAGATCTGGGGTGCCTTCTGTGGGAGATATCTAAGCTTCTCTCGGCACCTTTCTCTCTGGATGTCATGGCCTTTTCCATGTTGTGTTTTCTTCTCCAGAGAGCCTGTACAATTCCTCCCTGGGCTACGAGGTGATGATGCAAATAGACTGTGAGGTGATGGACACCCGGGTCATCCACATCAAGAGCTCCACGGTGCCCCCTTTCCTGAGGCGCCAAGACGCTGTCCCTGACAACCGGACCCAGCCCGCTCCTCAGCCCTTCTCTGGAAGAACGGCCCGGGCAGCTTTGCGGTCTCATCGGCCCACTTTCTCCTCCACGAGGCGGCACCCGCATCGCACCTTGTACCTTGGGGAGCATGGGGGGGGCTAGCCTCCCAAGAGGACAGAGAGAGTACCCTTGGGGTATGGTACACCTACACAGTTTTGGGGAACAGTGCTCCTCCTGCTCTGGAAAGGGACCTGCGCATGCACCCCCTCGGAGGAACCCTACCTGTGTGAGGGATGGATTGGAGATACCACTTCCGCTTGCTGGGACCCACTCTTTCAGATGACTGGGCTTCTCCTCCTCCTGGGGGACATTTCTATCCCTGGATCAATCCCACCTCCCTTTCCCCCCCCCCGAAAGTCCCTTCCCTGGCCTTTACTGCTGCTTCCAGAATAGCCATTGGGGTGGGGGGGGGAGGTATCGCCTGCAGTTAGGACTGCTGTGTTCCTGCCACTGCCACTCTTCTCCACATCCAAGTCCAGATGACTCCTCTGTCGGGTCCAAAAGGGACTTTTTTTGCCAGTTTCTACTGCCCTCCAGAGGTTGTGATCAAGATTTGTTCATTTTAATGGATAAAGAAGAAGGGAATGGGGGGGGGGTCTTAACCTGCTGACTGCAATGTGTGTGTGTGTGGGGGGGGAAAGAGCATGCGTGAGAAGTCTCTTTCTACAAAGTAGACAGAGAGAGAGAGAATGTGTATGTATAACAGTATGTATGTATTTGGTCCTGTTTGACTTGCTGTGATGGCACAAACCTGCCCTTTTGGGTCCTTGTATATTTTTTCCTCTGTTGTGTGCTGGGTTTTTTTTTTAAAAAAATAGCTACAAATAAAGTTAAATATGTGACCCTCATGTCTTTCTCTTTGTTCTAGTGTGTAAGCGGGAGGGGGGGGAGAGACATTCCTGCCCACATAGCCAATTTTTTTACAATACTAAGTATCTGTACTTCCTGGTTCATGGGGTTTCAAATCTCAGTAAAGCTGCTCTGATTTAAAGATCTGTCTTCTGATTTGAAATTTAAACTGATAGCGGGGGAAAACTGAAAGCAAATGTAACAAGAAGGAAGTGTAGCTTTTCTTCAAGTAAGGACAGTGTGTAGAAAATTTACCTTTTGCTTTAATTTACCTTTTGCTTTACATCTTATCTTCTGCCAGCACAGTCAGTGGGCTCCTTATTTTAAGGACTTCCCAAGAAAATAAGCTGCTAGCATTCCTGTCTTCGTTTCCAGGGTGACTGGGCACCTGGATGAGCAAGCGAGAGCATTTATAGGCTGCATAATTCAGCCAAACCGAAGCATACACAACTCCTTTTGACCATTTGAATTTCACCATATTCATTCTAAGCTCCTTTGGAGCAAGGAGCTGCATTTTGATTATGAAACTCTCATGTTGGGCAAATAAAAGAATACTTTGTATTCGCGAAGGCTTTCACGGCCGGGATCTAATGGTTGTTGTGGGTTTTTCAGGCTCTTTGGCCGTGTTCTGAAGGTTGACCTTCAGAACATGGCCAAAGAGCCTGAAAAACCCACAACAACCAACAGAATACAGTGGTGCCTCGCTTAATGAGCACACCGCATAACGACGAAATCGCATAGCGATCCGTTTTTTTGGATTGCTAATGTGATCGCTTAACGTTTTTCTAATCGGGCAAAATTCGCTTTGCGAAGACCGGTAAGCGTTTCGCTTACCGATCTTCGCAAAACGAAGCCCGATGATCAGCTGTCCGCCGGAAGCCCGGAAATGGCCCAAAATGGCAGCGCGCAGCGTTTTCGCGCCCTCGTTAAGCGAGGCGAGGGCGCGAAAATGGCTGCCGGCCATTAAGAAGCTTCGCTGAACGGTGAGTATTTGGCCCATTTGGAACGCATTAAACCATGTTTAATGCGTTCCAATGGAAATCCCTGCCCCGTTCAACGATGCTTCAGCATAGCGAAGGTTAATCCGGAACGGATTAACCTCGCTATGCGAGGCACCACTGTACTTTATCAAACCAACAAATTTGGTTTATTGCATGGCACACGGGCCTTTGCAGGATTTGTTGTTGTTGTTTAGTCATGTCCGACTCTTTGTGACCCCATGGACCAGAGCACGCCAGACCCTCCTGTCTTCCTCTGCCTCCCAGAGTTGGGTTAAATTCATGTTGGTAGCAGGATAACACAATATAAAATCATCACAGTACAATAAAATATAAAAGAAATTAAACATCTAATCTAGCTTGCAAGTTCTAAAATTTAAGGTCAATATAGATATCTAAGCATAAACATTAATCCAATTAATAGGCTTAACTATACAATGAATCAATAACAACAGGACCATGAGTGGTAGTAATCTATCCAACTCTTAACTTGGTCAGCAGTTGGAGGGTACAGTATTTTGCAAACTTTTATCAGGATTTTCCTTTATATCTACAACTGCTGGATTACTTTGTAGTTTAGATTGGGATTTGGATTCCCCACCTTGACGTGCTGAATTTGATGCTCCATAACGTCACTTCCAGCTCTGCCGTTCTAAGATTATCTAAATCATAAATCGAGAGGTTGGCTTTGCTTTTTCAAATGAAACTAGAAAAGAATGGGAAAAGTCCTGAAATTCCAAAACACACATTTTGGAATTCCCTCCAATTTACTTGCAGGGCAGAAGCCACTTCCACCTTCGGGACCCCAAAAGGCTAAACTAAATCATGAGAATCAAAATTGCACTGGCTTCCACCTGATATACCTAGACGAAGGGAAATAGGCTAATGTAAGGGCTATTGAGAACAGACGTACAGAGATGTCTTTTTGTTTGAATTTATGAGTGCATGGTGATTCATTGTGACCTGATTTGCAGGAAGGAGTCTTTGTCTGGAACAAATATCGAATGCAATTTGCTGTCCACATTTTATACAAGATCGGCACCTGAAAACTGTACTACGGTGGGTAGTGTATTTAAAAACTTGGCTCTTTAGGCAGGCCTTCCCTCCAGTCAATTAGCTGCTCCGTTTCTTTCATTTCCCATCTTGATAATGTATATATCCACTAGTTGTTGTATTATTAGGTTTTAGTAACTATATTATTGTATTGTATTTTATCATTTTTTTGTAAGCCGCCCCAAGTAGACTTTGTCTAGAGGGGAGGGGTATAAGTCTAAATAAAGTAAAAGTAAAGTAAAGTACCTCCTGGATGAAAGAGAAAGAGTGGTAGAATATACCAGATGGGTGCGATATAAATCGAACAAATAAATAAATAAAATAAAATAAATAAAACGAGGAAACCTGGCACCCAACACTCAAGAAGGACCTCAAAACTATTAGCGTTCCTTGAGATGATGCCGAAAACCTTGCAAGTGATCACGTTCGGTGGAGAACACTAGCTGCCCAATGTGCTCTGCACAGGACCTCAGGATGATGATGATGATGACATATATATGTAAAAGACACGGATTTGGAGAGGGCTGCAGTACAAGTCCAATCACAGTGATCCATGTGAAGCTATCGAAGCGTTATAGAAGCATGCACCCAATCAACTCTAGAACAACAGCCATGCCTTTGCCCTCCCCATCATCCTCCCCCCAAGCAGCAGCAAGGCAAAAAGAGAACTACAGCGTCCAGATGCCCTTGCGCTTGCTCTCTCTTTTTTTGTGTATGTGCGACTGTGTGAGTGTGAGTGTGTTGGAGAGAAGGAAGACTACAAGTCCCGGCAACTAGATGGCCCCCTAGATCCGTGGAAACGAGTCCTCTGGTGGGATTGAGGAT